AACATTTCTATAACTTACAAAGTGATCACCCCAATGACTCTAGTACCCACCTGGCCGAATATAAAGTTATTAAAATATTATTGACTATATTCTCTATTCTGGACTGACCTCTATTCTCTCAGCGGCTCGCCCCTGATTTCTCCTGTTGGTGCCAGCCCCAGGGAACTCACATCTACCACTTTGTAATTTGTAGAAAAATACCTCTCCCTTTGACCTATCTTTTGTCCTCCAACCCGAACCCACCTCCATGGCCCTGATTTCCCTCTTACACCCGTTTGTTTCCTCCTCTCAGAGTCTCTCCTCTTCCGGGGAGCTTTATCAGTTCTTTGTCCTAATTTTGCTCAGTTTTGTTCTCTGTTGAGGTGTTGGAGCCTGGGGGTCTGGCAGGGAGAAAAAGGGAATAAAAAAAGGACTTCACAATGATCTGACTTCAAGGTAAGCTCTCTAGAGAAAAGAAATCTTCCTCACTTTCCAAATTGATAATTCTACAGGAATTTCCTATTGGGATGTTTTCTGAGTGTCTCACTTTGTCATCCAGCCTGATGACTCCAGGAGTAGGAAAAAAACACGCATCCTGCCCCATCGTTGAAGGTGGCAATCAAGGCAGTTAAACAAACATACTTCTCTCTCTCTCTCTCTCTCTCTCTCTCTCTCTCTCTCTCTCTCACACACACACACACACACACACCCTTTATCTGTAACCTTTTACCAAATTGACTGAGGCATCTGTTCTCAAAAGGGCTTTGTTTACAGCATTCACGCCCCAGCCTTAGTTCTGGAGATTTCTAGCAGGAACAGTTCTGAGACTTGACATTGTTTCAGCAGCTCTGGAACCAATGGCAACCTGAAAATGGTCCTTCTGAAGGTGCGTGTGAGCAAAGAGAGCTGGAAAATTAGTATAACCCGGGTGGGGATATTTGACAGTTCCTCATGTGTCTGCACCATGTTCTTAGTGCAATTCCCAAGTTAGCCCATTTGAATGCATCTTGATGTCAAAACCTGCAGTATAGTTATGAGTTCAGCATCTCCTAATCCAAGTCTGAAAATCCACAAGAATGTTGTGGGGGCTAAAAAAACATTAATACTTGTCCTTCCACCTTCGAAGTTCTGGCTAGTCTAACTACCAAATTAACAGAGGCAAATTAACAGGACAAAGTCAAAGTTTAATACATGCACAGGGGAATTCACATAAAGCATGAAAATTCTGAAGACAGTGAGGCAACATTGTGTACACAAGACATTTTTGGACAAAGGAGAAAGGGTGTGGGGGGAACAGGGTATTAGATTTTAGAAGTGAGAATGTGCGATTTACAGGTAGTTGAGGAAGAACACACATGGCAGGAAACTCCTTGCTGGGTGACTCAGAGACGGTGGGGCACAGGGGTTTTCTAGCTAACAGGGCCCTGTCTGGAGCCCTCTGTCTGTCATACTTGATTAACATTAGACCAAAGGGAACATTCTAAGATTTCCTTCCTGAAGTAGGTTTCTCTGTCTGAATCTCATGGACAGGAAAGAGGAGAGGGTCAAAGATTCTTTCTGAGTCTTGTTTGTTAAGAAAGAGCTTAAAATCAATATCCCCAAAAGGCAGTTCAGGGTGGCAAAACTTTGGTTCCCTTTAGGGTCCAAGTGGGGAGAATCTTAAGAACCTGGCCAAGGAGTGGAGAGCTTTTCCTAGTAGCAAGGGGGGTTCACTGAAGTTGTTTTGAGCATGAGAGAGATTAAAACAGTAATATTTTAGTAAGATTATTTTGGCATAATCATGCCTAACGAATTTCAATAGGAAAGACAGAAAAGTGGGAGGGTGAGTTTAGAAACTATTAACAGTTCAGCCTCGAAGGGAAAGGGCCTGAGGTAAGGCACATATAATGGGCTCAGGGAGGAAGGCCAGACAGTGCGTGGAAAGAATCGGGGGAACTTGCTGACCGAATCGGAGGTGGGAATTGGGGGGAGGGGGAACCAACAGTGACTCCCAGTTTCCAGAGAATGGCTACCTGGGATAAAGGCAGGGCCATTGGCATCAACAGTGGGAACAACGATGGTAAAATACCCAAGTGGACATGTCTAGGACATGGGTGTAAATTCAGGATTGAAATTTAGTAATCTAATCTCAGTATAGAAATTTGAGACATCCAATAGGGGTTGGAAGTATAATTCAATTTTGACCAGTTAAATTAAATGTTACAATATTGGTATGCCTTCTATAAGCGTAGATGATATTTCTGAGCAAATGTATGTAGGCGAGAAGAGCAGAGAGTTGAAGACTTAGCTTAGGAACTTTGGATAATTCCCAGTGAAAAGATGGTAGTGGATTAAGAGCCAGTAAGAGTGAGAAATGGAAAAGAGAAGTCAGAGAAAAAGAGGAGAACCAAGATAATGTAGACTAATAAGGGCCACAGGAGGAGGAAATTTCAAGAAGGAAGTTAAGAGAATAAAAACTGAGTAAACGCTGAGCCATCTGACCCATAGAAGTAATTCATGATCTTCACGTGACCGACTATTAAACAGTGGGGAAATAATAGCAATTATGTTCTGTAGTTAAACTCAACAAATATTTATTAGCTGTCACGGATGTTTTATACCTTATCTTTCTCAACTTCAGTAAGGGTTCCCAAAGGTCTGATCTATTAAACGTGGTTTTGTCACTGGACCAGTTCTGTGCTGGGCACTGGCCCTGCCCCAGCAGGAACCAGGAGCTCCGGGCTCTTGGCTCACACAGGAAACAATTCAAGAACAAGTCCGAGTGAGAGCAAAAGCAAGTTTTATTCAGGTACAGAAAAAAAGACTAGGACTGGAGCTCCTGGAGACAGGATCACGGTTGAGTCGCCTCTGCCCCCGGTTGCAAGTCTACAGGGTGCACCGTGGAAGAAGCTAGAGCATGCTTCCAAGTGGACCCTGCAAACGAGGGAGCAAGTTGCCCGTTGGCTCAGTGAGTTCTTGGGATTTTGTGTGTTTCCAAGGGTGGGTTGTTTCAAAACTTTGTGGCACCAAATTCTGACCCCACCTTCTGGTTGAGGGGGCCCTTGTTCCTAGTATGGTCTATACCAGAAGTGTCATGGCGTTGGTCCCTTCAGTCTCCCTCGAACTTGTTGTGTCAGTTTTCATTATAAGATGGTATGATGAACGTTGGGGTCGTTCTCTGGTCTATTTTTCTTCCATCTTGGACTGATCTGGGTTTAGCCAGCCCTTGTTTTGTTGACTTCTGTGGCCACTGCAGGAGTTTCCTAGCATAAACTATTTCCCTTTGATCAAGAGTGGAGGTGGGGGCTCCAGGAGAAAACTTCCTCTGTCCACTTGTCTGGAGTTTGCCCTAACTTCTTTCTATCCTGCCTGCGTCTTTGAATGATAAGGTGTTATACAAGGTTGATTTATAAGAAGGAGCTAAAGAAGAACCATCATTTCCTCTGACCTGAAATTTTGGTGTATAGTATAATATTGACAAATGGGAATAATATTAAGGAGTTACTTCACTATCTTAAGGAATCTTGTTCAACCAAATTATGCTTACCCCTGACTAACCCAGACCCTATTCTACCAGCAGAATATGGTACTATTTAAAGGTCATTGTTTGGTCTTGGCCAGTTTGGCTCAGCAGTTAGAGCATCGGCCTGCGGTCCAGAGAGACCTGGGTTCGGTTCCCGCTAAGGGCACGTGCCTCAGTTGCAGTTTGCCCCCGACCCTGGTTGGGTCGTGTGGGTGGCAGCCACTCGATGTGTCCCTTTCATGTCGATATTTCTCTCTCTCTCTCTCTCTCCTCTCTCTTCCTCTCTCTCCCTCCCACTCTATCTGAACAAAAAATAAAAATGTCCTTGGGTGAGGATAAAAAAAAAAGTGTCATCTGGTGAGGAAAGAAAGAAAGAAAGAAAAGAAAGGAAAGGAAGAAAGAAAGAAAGAAAGAAAGAAAGAAAGAAAGAAAGAAAGAAAGAAAGAAAGAAAGAAAGAAAGAAAGAAAGAAAGAAAGAAAGAGATCATTGTTTGGTTGATGGGGTGGGCTTGATGTTTGGGTCATATTAAAAAAATGACTGCTTTTGGGACTGAATCTTTGAAATTTTTCTAACTCTAGAGAGATTTTATTCCACTTAAGCTCAATTTCTACTTAATATAGCCCTGTAACCGCTCTAAAAAAAGTAAATTAAAATTTTAATATATGACCCTTTGGGTGGTGCCTATAGTTTGCCTTCAGAAAATGTTGATTTTTTAAAAATATTCACCAGTTTCACCTCTAAGTCTTAGCTATGCATGGCTCAGCTGCAGTAAGTGTGATCATTTCACTTCTCCAAATGTCCCTGGACTCTCCATCCTTAGCTCGGAAGCTCTGTCACGCATGGACTCAGCCCTAGAGGATGCTAAAAAAGCTGAAATGGAAATGTTTAGGTAGTGGAGAAGGAAAGTGTGGAGGCTAAAAAAATATTAATACTTTTCCTCCCACCTTCTGCATTCTTTGGCTGGGTTAATAACCAAATTAACAAAGACAGATTAACAAGAGAAAATCAAAGTTTAATACATGTGCGTGGGGAATATATAAATGAAAATTCCAAAAATGGTGAGGCAGCATTGGGTATTAAGACATTTTTAACAAAGGAGGAAGGTGGGGAACTGGGTATTAGATTTCAGAAGTGAGAATGGGCGATGTACAGGTATTTGAGGAAGAGGGGAACACACGTGGCAGGAACTGGGCAGCTCAGAAACAGTGGGACACAGGGACCTACCTGCCTGAAGCCCTCTGTTCCCCATGCTTCATACAAATTAGACCAAGGGGAACGTCCTAAGATCTTCTTCCTGAAGCAGGTGTCTCTGTCCGAATCTCTTGGGCAGTTAAAGGGGGAGGGTCAAAGTTTGTGTCTGAGTCCTGTTTCTTCAGAAACAGTTTAAAATTAATATCCCAAAAAGGCAGTTTTAGGGTGGTGCCTTTGGTTCCAACTTTGGTTCCTTCAAAAGCTCTCTAGAGATAGCTCCTTACCTCTTTTCTTCAGGAAGATTTAATTGTTGGAATTTTATTACAGAAGCTGAGAAGACTAGCCGCCAAGTACAAGGCAGACAGAACCTACCCAACAACTGTGGCCGAGAGGCCCAAGAATGTCAAGAAAAACAGATATAAGGATATCTTGCCCTGTAAGTTTCATTTCTCCCAAATTCAATGTTTCCTATCTCTTTTTACCCATCGCTTGCTGTTTTCAGTCCTGGAACATGGCTTTAACAAGTGAGTTCGTACTGTTTATGACTACAAAAAACATTCGTTCACTCACTCACTTTTCAAACCACTGTTCACAGTGTTAGTCCTGACTTCCACTAACTTCACTGACCAAGCCCTCTGAATTGTACTATGTCTTTCTTTGTATTATGTATAGATGATCATAGCCGCGTAGAGCTGTCCTTAATAACCTCTGATGAGCACTCCAGTTACATCAATGCCAATTTCATTAAGGTATACTCCATATTTCATATTCTCTAGTACCTGCAAAAATGGGGGAGGATACTAGACCATATTTTTCCAGATACCTAAAAAAGGGTGGGGGAAATATACGAGACAAGAACAGAAGGGTATTAGTTGTAGTCACCCGGTGTAATTTCTGTTCCCCTTTAGGGAGTCTATGGACCCCGGGCTTATATTGCCACCCAGGGACCTTTGTCTACAACTCTCCTGGACTTCTGGAGGATGATTTGGGAATACAACGCCCTGGTAAGAGCAGAGTTACTTTTTTACTATCTTCTCTCATTGCTAGGGAGAGAGGGCATGAGGGCATGAGAATATGTGACTGAGGTTTCCTATGTGTTAGATGAGTGCTTTTTTATTTTGATCAGTCACTAGAATTTCGATGTTCCGGTGCCTTGTAGTCAAAATCACAAAGTCACTCTTCAAGGAAATGAAAGTTCTCATCTTTACGGGCTCATTTGTTAATAAAAATTTATTGATTTGAATAGAGAAAAGGGAAGTGAGGACAGAGAGTAGGAAGGATAGGAGCAACAGTTTATAATCGATCAAGATTTCTTTTTTGGTTAAAAAAAAAAACAGAAAAGAATAATTAATACATTCTGACCCTGGGATCTATGTATTAACTGCTCTTTCTAAAAGCATCAATGGTTAAGTTTCTATCTGTTTCATCTCCCCAGATCATTGTCATGGCATGCATGGAGTTTGAAATGGGGAAGGTGAGTTCTTTCTAGTAAAGGGAAAGGAACAAAGAATAAGAAGGGGGAACACTAGTAGCAGAACTTAAGTGTATCTAGGTAAAATGTGTGTCCATCTGGCTAGTTTTCAGTTTAGGAATACCAAATGACAAGACCTTTATAAAAAACTCCTAAGGACCCCTTTTGTCCATTTTCCCAGTAGACTCTGCTTTAAAATAAAAATAAGCACCCTGGCCGGTCTGGCTCAGCGGTTAGAGTGTCAGCCCATGGACCAGAGAGTTCTGGGTTTGGTTCCCGCTAAGGGCATGTACGTCGGTTGCGGTTTGTCCCCAGCCCCGGTTGGGGTCGTGTGGGTGGCAGCCACTTGATGTGTCTCTCATGTCGATGTTTCTCTCTCTCTCTTCCTCCCTCTCACCCTCCCACTCTATCTGAAAATAAATGCAAAAAAACAAAAACAAAAAATATGCTTTTGAAAGTAACCATTCATCTTCCCATTGTGTGAATCAGACAACTTTAACTGTCAATCAGAGCTTCTAACCCTGTCTGACCAACACAGCATCCACCAGTCACATGTTGCTACTGAGCTCTTGAAATATGGCTGAATGAGGGGTTGGGTTTTGTTACACAGAAGAGACTAGAATGCATGGAGGGAAATCACTATATTCTGTTTTGTGCAACAGAAAAAGTGTGAGCGCTATTGGGCGGAGCCTGGAGAGAGGCAGCTGCAAGTTGGCCCTTTCTCCGTCTCCTGTGTGAGTATGATGCTGTGTCCACACGGCCGAGCCGGTCCTCCAGGCTCTCTTTACAGACAGTAGTTTTTTCATCTTGGTCTTTGAAATAACTAATATTTTAATTTACTTCTCAGGAAGCTGAAAATAGAAAATCTGATTATGTAATCAGGACTCTGAAAGTCAAGTTCAACAATGTAAGTAGAGAATTTTGGTAAATTCAAAAGCCTACAGAGAGCAGGCAGGTTAATATGTATGTGACTCGGGCTGGTCATGAGACGATGGCGAATAGTGGGGCCTTTGATGTTCTGGAAAAATCCTCACATTCAAAAGAGACCTTTGGTGTAATCTAGGCTCCCCAATCTATTGCACACCATGGCCACGTATAAAACAATTGTAGGGTGAATGGAGGCTGGGAACCAACTTGAGAGCTCAGGTGCCCAGTCTGAGACAGAGTATTTAATGTGTCAGCATCTGTGACCTGTCTGAAGTTTCCCGGTTGGGAAGCTCTGGTCTGGACTATCTTCGTTTCTACCTCCTCTTTTGAGTGGGACATATAGGGACAGACCATAATACGTGGCCTGAAATCACTTAACTGTTCTTCGAAGGCATATGGTCAGCAGAGGTCTGTGGGGAAGAACGCAGCATAAATTGCAGAAAGGAAACAGATGCTACTTAGTGAGTGAGAGTGGTGGAATGAGGTGGAGTCCTAGCCTTGACCTCTCCTTTCATTCTGGCGAATTTTTCATAGGAAACTCGAACTATCTACCAGTTTCACTACAAGAACTGGCCAGACCACGATGTGCCTTCCTCTATAGACCCTATTCTTGAGCTCATCTGGGATGTACGTTGTTACCAAGAGGATGACAGTGTTCCCATATGCATTCACTGCAGGTATGATGCTGTGTGTGAACCTTCAGCCCAGAACAACCCAAGTGCCCCAGTCTGCCAGGGCTCTTGCTTTAACTGAAGGGAGACAGACGTTGTTATAAGCTAAGGTGTGAGCATGTGAGATGTAGGCTCCTCTCCTCACCTCGCTTTTTCCAGTTGATGAGAAAGGAACGAAGCTTAGAAAAGAGTGGTAGAAAGAGACAGATCATAACAGAAACAAACTATAATAAATTCAACCCGAGAATTAAATGGATACTTTTCTGGTAAGTAGCTTGTGAACAACACAGCTCTAGAGACTCTGGCTGTGAGCAAGTTGCCCAGGACCTGTCCTGAAGTTCATAACGGCATGTGGTAATTTGCAAACATGTTCAGAAAATGGTAGTGAAAGTTTTACTGTCTCCGGGTTTTCTCTTCCTCAGCTCTGCTGGTGAAATTTGCCAGCTACTGTCAATGATCCACTGTCTGCAACCATAAATGCTCCCACTGTGATTTTTTATTTCAGTGCGGGCTGTGGAAGGACTGGTGTTATCTGTGCAATCGACTATACGTGGATGCTGCTGAAGGATGGGGTGAGTTTCTCTCAGCAAGCACTTCCCACTTGTTTACCTTGCTGCTTTCACCTTTTCTAATATTGACTTGTTTGTAGACCTGCTTTGTCAGGTGATTGAATCAGTTTCTAAGTTGGTGGTTGTCAAACTGTGGTCCCCAGACAAGCAGCGTTAGTATCAGCATCAGAAATGCAAATTTTAGGCCCCACCTGGGATGGATCGAAACAGAAATCAGTTGGCGCCCAGCAAGCTCTCCAGGTGTTCCGATGCCTGGTTGAAGGACCACTGCCCTAAGTTACACCGTCACCTTCCTTTATCCAAACTGCGTTAGTGCACTCAATTTACCACGGTCAAACTTTGTGTTCCAATCTATACGTCATGTTTTAAAAGTCTAACAAGAAATGGGAAGTTTAAGATATGGGCCATAGAACTATCTGCCAACTTCTTTTATTTCGTAAAGCTTACACTTGCGCATCTACTGAGCCTTCTTCTTCATTTTATCTTTAACTTTGGGCCTTTGATCAGCCCATGTGAAATCATCCTGGAGTTTCTTCAGTCTTTTCTAGTCTGTAAACCATGGTACAAGTGATGAGACTCTTCATTAATTTAAAAAAATATCTATTTTCTGATATTATCCCATGTTAGGAGAGCAGATATTATGGAAGTAACAAGACTATGAGAAAGTGGCAATAGTTTATTGACAAAGATAGAAACAAAGGAGTAAGATATTTTTTTCCTTTCATTCGATAGATAATTCCTGAAAACTTCAGTGTTTTTGCTTTGATCCAGGAAATGCGAACACAGAGGCCTTCCTTAGTTCAAACTCAGGTATGGACGATGATGAATGCGTCATAACATGTGTCTGAGTCTTGCCCCACCTCTCTGTTTAGTAGTAAGGGATCCAAAACCAGCCGACTGCTTAGCCATAACACCAATGTACGATTAAGTGCATTAGTTTGTTCCTATTTCCTCCAACTCAGAATATCCCAATATTTTTTCCAGTATCCCTTGCCCTGGGTCATATTCCCTTCATCCTTTATATTTTACTTTCCAGAAAATATTAAGAAACCAATATAATATTTCTTACAAAGGATGTTGGAAAAAAAATCAACAAGTTGCTTAAGTTCTTAGAAAGAAATAGTTGGGTCAGGTTAACTTGAAACTTTGTAGTAGTAATTTGTTTCTGAAACCATAGGAAATCAGCGATAGTTTCTACTTCAAGAGGTCGTAGTAGAATCTGAAGCATGCAGTCTGTGTTCATTTTAGGAAATAATGAAAAATGAAAGTAAAATAAACCGTAATCCTATTATCTAGGTAGCTACTGTTACTATTTTTCTACAGTCTCTCCTGGTCCTTATTCTGTGAATACTTAAAAAAAAATAATTACAGTCACACCATTTATATGATTACATATGTAGCATTACGTTCTAACCCAGCACAGATGGTTCACACTCATTCACTCCATTGGTAATGCACTTCCCCTGTTTCCTCCTCTCCTTTCTTTTATTTATTTATTTATTTATTTATTTATTTATTTTTTATCCTCACCCGAGGACATTTTTCCATTTTTTGTTCAGATAGAGTGGGAGGGAGAGAGAGGAACAGAGAGAGAGAGAGAGAAACATCGATGTGAAAGGGACACATCGAGTGGCTGCCACCCGCACAACCGACCAGGGCCGGGGACAAACTGCAACCAAGGTACATGCCCTTAGCGGGAACCGAACCCGGGTCTCTCCGGACCGCAGGCCGACGCTCTAACCGCTGAGCCAAACCGGCCAGGGCCCTCCTCTCCTTTCTGAGTTCAAGTTCTCCCCCCGGGGTGAAACAGTCCCAGCCCAAATCTCTCACTTTCCACAATGTCAATTTCACCCATATTTCCTCACCAATCATTTTACCCATATATCTAAATGGTCTCCATCCTTAAGATATAGTTTATCATTCACCCACTCATTCATCCATCAAACATGTATTGATATGAGGTACCAGACACTTTTGCATAATTTGTTAGAACTACTTTTTACTGCTTAAATAGCAAGACCCTAATGTGTTTAAGGCAAACGAACTGACACATAGGTTCAGAAGTAAAACCATTGACAGTGGCAGTTCAGACAGTTTCATCTAGAAGCTGTGAATTGAAGGGAAAAAATGAAGAGCTATTATAATACAAACCTTCTGTTTGGCCCACACAGGTTTTCCACTAATAGCTAGTGGAAAAAAATAATTTTTTTCATGTGTTGACTGTAGGTGTGTTCTATATTCAACCTGAGGGGGAAAGTTTACGTGAAATAATAGCATTGGCTAGTTCAGGGCTGTCAGACTTGAAAGAAGGCTGATCCATGTCAATGTGTGCAACCAAGTTGTGTAAAATTAAATTATAATACTGAATCAATAAATAAAACCATACCCACTTTAGAAAAAGTCTATTTCAGGCCTATTTTTAAGAGTTGGAAGACAGCTGAAACCATTTGAAGTTAGCCTTCACATTTTGGCATTATCAGCGACTAGTGGAACAAACATCTTACCGGCTGTAGCTACCTTTTCTGACACCACACTAACCAGGAAATAGCACAGTAACCAGACGAGTGCTTCCTGTGTGACTTCTCTGTTCTTAACAAATTTAAAGAGTGTACCAATGTTTGTCTCAGTTGACAGAGATGCATTGTTCTCCTGCTAAAATTATCTTTGGAAAACTTATGCTGTATTTCTATAAGAGTGTGTAAAGAGTCAGGGAAAACCCTGAATAGGTTCATTCAGATGAAAAGTACTTACAAAATCAAGTGTTTGGCAGGTACAGAGGCAAAAATAGAATAGTAAACACCCATGAACATTATAGTTGTAGAGGGCTCATTTCTTGATGGTGAAATCATTTTATAACCATACATTTTCAAACTCTATCCAATGGTCTACTTTTCTTTGCTATCTTTGCTATGATTGAATTTCAGTAGTTTGATCTAAGTGCACTAAACTAAGAGTCAAAAGATTCAAGTTCTAACCCAAGTCTTGTAAATTACTTCTGAATGACCTTGGACAAATTGTCTATAAACAGGAGTAATAGCCTAGCTTGTTTATAGATCAATTATAAGGGTCAAGTTAAATAATACATATTAAAACCATCTATCTACCCATCAACCACAATCTATCTACCTTTTTCCCAGAAAAGGTAAAAGTGGCTCGCACACAAAAAAAGGCATCCAATATGAAATAAAATTTTTAACATATGAGCAAGGAAAACAGACATGAAGGGATGAGCCCTGGCCAGTTTGGTTCAGCAGTTAGAGTGTCTCCCCACGGACCAAAGAGTCTCAGGTTTGATTCCGGTCAAGGGCACGTACCTTGGTTATAGTTAGGTCCCAGGCCTTGGTCGGGGTCATGCGGGAGGCAACCAATTGATGTGTCTCACACATCAATGTTTCTCTCTCTCTCTCTCTCTCTGTCTCCTACTCTGTCTAAAAATAAATGAAAGAATATCCTTGGGTGAGGATTTAAAAACAAAACAAAGAAGTAGAGGGATGATGATGAGGGAAAGATAAGTAAGAAAATGGGGTTAGAACAGAAACAACATGCTGCAAGTTTCTTCCTTATATATTTGTTAGAAGCACATCAAATATTTAGCTGTTTCCAGCAGCCTAACAGTGCTTTGAAATTTGAAATGGGCTGTACAAACACGGCACTTTCATTAAATTAATGTTAATGGTCTTTTGAGGTTTACTATCCTACAATTGATTGGTGTTGATATTTCTGAAATCTGGTTCTGTAGTTCACCAAGAATTTTGTTTGTTTTCCTTTGTTCTGGTGTGTGATCCTCTCCAGGAACAGTATGAACTGGTCTACAAAGCTGTCTTAGAACTATTCAAGAGACAGATGGATGTTATCAGAGATGGACACTCTGGAATAGAGGTAAACTTTAAACTTAATGTTTTGTCAATTTTAAAAAAAACATTTGATTTGGTAAAGGAATCTTAGATTAGATGCAGGACTTAGCTCATTATTTATTGTCATAACTAAACTGGAGTGTCTGTGTTCATGGGTTGCACCACAAATCTCCTGTAGAGGACAAATAATTGATGTACTCTAATGTAGAAATTTCAACGTTTGGTTAACCACTTGCAAACAATTTTTAGCTAAATTTAGAAACAAGTGTGAAAGAACAAGCGTATATTCTGTTCCCATGTTTTAGACAGTTGTGTGGTGAGTTAGAAATGAGAGTGACAGTTACAAAGTGAAACCATAATTGAGTACTAATGTAATTTTTCAGGTTACTCTTGCCTCTTTTTGATTGCATATGTCTCATCAAATTTTGAGACTATTTTAGAATACCCACAGGATTTTTAGCTGAAAGCTTTAGGTATACCTAAGGATTTTAAAAAAGCAATTATGATGTGACTAAATTCCAATTTAAAAACATTGAGTATTCTAGGATATGCTACTTTGATCTTATCACAAAAATTGGTAAGTCAAATACTTATTGTGCAATCACAAAGTATTAGGTTCTGAACAAACCTTAAGAAGACAAAATTGCTGACTTATCTTCTGGGGTATATGTAACGTATACATATTAATTTAATTTTTAATACCACATTTTGGATTGTTAATCTGAAAATATTCACTGGGCACCTACTGTTTTCACAGCATTAAGAAAACAAAGTATATAAGAGATGACCCTGAACATAGTTCTATCAGTTGATGATAAAACATGGGAAGGGAAAGAGTCAAAAAAATGGTTGGGGCTAGGGAATGAACAAAGCAATCCTATAGCTAATGTCAACTCCAAGGAGAAACAACATGGTGGAAGATGATGGAAATAAAAGTATAATTACCAGAAAATGTGACTTATATCCTATTTATGACTATTTCATTGGCTAGGACTCCCTGAACAAGGTTAAATAACAGACGTGTTATGGATGACCTAATTTTAATGAGAAAGATTCTCATGTTTCACTACTAAGTGCCATGCTGACTTAATTGGAGATATTTATATCTTAATTATTTAAAGAAAGTATTCATTGATTACTATTTTACTAAGAACCTTTTTTAGGCCCTGGCTAGTTTGGTTCAGCAATTAGAGTATCGACCTGTGGACCAAAGGGTTGCGGGTTTGATTCCTGGTCAAGGGCACATACCTGGGTTGCAGGTTCCATCCCCTGCCCCAGTTGGGGTCATGTGGGAGGCAACCAATTGATGTATCTTTCTTACATCAATGTTTTCTCTCTGTCTCTCCCTCCCTTCCTTCCACTGTATCTAAAAATCAATGGAAAAATATCCTTGGGTGAGGATTAAAAAAAAGAATTTGCCCTGGCCAGTTTGACTTAATGGTTAGAGCGTCAGCCGAGGACCAGGGAGTCCCGGGTTCTGGTTCCGCTAGGGGCATGTGCCTTTGTTGCAATTCATCCCCGGCCCTGGTTGGGGTTGTGCGAGTGGCAACCACTCAATGTGTCTCTCTCACGTTGATGTTTCTCTCTCTTGTCCTTCTCTCCCTCCCGCTCTATCTGAAGATAAATACAAAAAATATATATCCTTGGGTGAGGATAAAAAAAAAAAAAGAATCTTTTTCAGAAAGACTGTTAAATTCAGTCAGTTGCATATTTTTGCATTTGTGGAATGATCTCATGGATTTTCTCTTTAACCCATCAATATAGTCATATCATTGGATTTGTTAAAATCAAACCATCCTTGTACTCTTAGGAAAAGAAAACCCTGCTTAAACAAAAAATATTCTTTAATGTGTTGCTAGACTATGTGGGCTAATATTTTATTTAGGTTTAAGGAAATGTCAATTTTAAAATTTAGCCCAGTAGCAATGCTATGGCTCCAGCCAACTGGGTTGTTTGGAGTAGGTCCTTAGTCAATAAATTGGAATATGGAAACATGGTTCCAGCTCCCACTGAGGAAAGTGGTTAAAGATAGCCAAAGAGAACTTCTGTTTCTGGGAAGATTCAATAGACATACTTTTCCCTATTCCTCCCACTAAGTGCAACCAAAAACCCCTGGACATTACATATAAAACAAATATAAAAAGACAGATCAGCTAGGGACTTGTGACCCAAGAAAAGACATAATGGTGAGTTCTTTGGGGTTTTTTGTTTTTTGTTTTTTTTTGCCTCATATATTCCAGGCTTGGAATTGAAGAAGCCAACAATCTGGAAATGCCAACAGTGCAGACAAAGGAAGACCCAACAAGAGCTGCTCTCTCTAGCCAAAGGACCAGGAAAGGGGTGGCCCAGCAAGACATGAAACTTTTAGATAATAATCACTATACCCCAGTCAACACAAAATACAAATATGGCCCCTAACCCTAACCTCAGCAAAGGCTGAGTGGGGAGCCTATATTCCCACCCCAACAAGACTATAATAAGTGCTGGAGTGGTGTGAGAAAGGTCAAATAGAGAGCTAGGACTTTCATCCCTACTGGCCTACAATGCAGTTTCCCTGCAGTGCTTATGGAGACCACATGGGGAGCCTAAGCTTCCAAATGGCAATAACATGGCACCCCATGCCTCCCCACTGAAGTAGGGTTAAAAGAGGCCTAATGGGCAGTTAGGACTTACGCCATCATCCAACAGTAAAGAGGCCATCCACACCATAGTGTCAGAGAAGCCATGGGAGCCTCTCCCATGATGTCTCTCCTTGAACATCAATATAAGTTAAATTAGGAGACTGGTGAAGGTAGAATCCACCTGGTAGTAACAAGGCAACAGTAATGCATTGTCCTGTCAGAATGGAGTAAAAAACAAACAAACAAAAGAACAGCTAAAAGAGAAGGTTAAACTAAGATCCAGAGCTTCATATCTCAAACCAAATGAATAAAAGACAATCAATAGATGGCAACACTAAGATGACAGTGATGTTAGAATTATCTGACAAAGATTTTAAAGCAGTCTTGATAAAAATGCTTCAATGAGCAACTTCAAACATGCTTTTAAGAAATGAAGAAAAACAAAAAAAGATGAAAAAATAGGAAGATTCAGGAAAAAAAATACGAAGAAGAACTGAAATTTTGGAACAGAAAAATACAGTAACTGAAACAAAATAGTTTAGTAGGTAGGCTCAACAGCAGAATACTGGATACAAAAGAAAAAATTAATGAACTGGAAGATAGAACAATAGAAATGACCTGATCTGAACAACAGAAATAAAATTGACTGAAAAAATAAACAGAACCTTAAAAACCTAGCACTTGTGTCATGATGTCCGAGAAGCAGAAGAGAAAAATGCAATGCTAATAAAGTACTGAAAAATTCATCATAATAAAACATCTAAACCTAAAGACAAAGATTACAGAAAGCACCAGAGAAAAATTATCTTAACTGTAGGAAGAAAACAATAAGAATAACACTGGCTTTGTCATCAGAAACCATGGAGACCAGAAGGAAGTGGCACAATATTTGTCATGTACTGAAAGAAAAGAATTATCAGCTAGGAGTGCTACACCCAGTGAAAACATCCTTCAGGAATGAAGGGGGAATCAAGACATTCTCAGATGAAGAAAAACTAAGAGTATTTGTCACCAGTAGACTTACTCTTAAAGAAAAAACAAAGTAAGTTTCCTAAACAAAAAGAAAATTATGAAAGAAGGAAGAACATGGTAAGCAAAAACATGTGTAAACATAATAGGCATTCCTTCTCTTAAGTTTCTAAATTGTTTGATAATTGAATTAAAAATTATATACTCCCTGATGTGGTTTTAAATGTATTAGAGGAAATATTTAAGACAATTACATTATAAGCAGGGAAGAGTTAGTAATGTCAAGGGAGGTTAAGGTTTCTGTACTTGAACTAGTAAAATGATAACACCTGTAGACTGTGGTAAGTTATGTATATATAATGTAATGTCAAGAGCTACAACTACAAAAGCTATACAAAGGCATACCTTTACAAAAAAAACTGTACATAAATCAAAATGAAATTCTAAAAAATGCAGGAAAGAGAAAAAGGCAGGAAAAAGAAAAGGGAAATGTGAAACAGAGAGAAAAAACAGAAAACAAAAACTAAAATGGTAGGTTTAAGCCCTAACATCAATAATTACACTAAATGTAAATGGTATAAATACACAAATTAACAGACAGATTGGCAAAGTATATTGAAAACATGACCTAACTATATGTGTCTTCAAATATACAGATTGGAAAAATATATATATCATATAAGCATGAATAAAAGGAAAGCAGGAGTAGCTAACTGTATTAATATCAGATAAAGTAGAATAAAGAAAATTATCATAGACAGGGAAAAACATTATATAATAATAAAAGGGTTAGTCCACCAATAAAACATAGCAATCCTAAGTGTGTATGGACTAAATGAGCTATAAGTGAAACAAAAACTAATAGAAATAAAAGGAGAAACAGACAAATTCACAGTTATAGTTGGAGACCTCAATATTTCTTTATCAAAAATTAATAGAAAAACTTGACAGAAAATCAGCAAGAATATAGAACTCAACAACACCATCAATCAACAGGATCAAATTGATATTTATAGAACACTCCACCAATGACACAGGAATACACATTATTTTCAAGTACTGATGGAATGTATAGCAAAATGAACCATATCATGGGCCATTAAACAATCTGAAAATTTTTTTTAAATGGAAACCATATAATGTATTCTCTGACCACAGTGAAATCAAACTAGAAACCAATAACAGGAAGATAACAGGAAAAGATCCAAATACTTGGAAACTAACCACACTCTTCTAAAGAATCCATTGAGTCAAATAGGAAGTATCAAGGCAACATTTTTTTAATGCATTGAACTGAATGAAAATGAAAATACATGTCAAAATTAATGGGGCAGAGCTATAGCAGTGTTGACAGGGAAGTTTATAGCACTCTACATATATACATTAGAAAACAGTCAAAGTTTCAAATCAATAATGTGAGCTTTCACTTTGAGAATCTAGAAAAAAAGAAAGAAAATGGGAGGAAATAATAAAGAGCAGAAATCAATGTAGTATATTACAATGATTTTTATATGTTGACCCATCCTTGCATTCTGGGAATAATCCCATTTTGTCATGGCATATAATCCTTTTAATATGCTGCTGAATTCAGTTTGCTAGTATTTTGTTGAAGATTTTGGCATTGATATTCATTAAGGATATTGGTCGGTAGTTTTCTTTTTCTTTAGTGTCTTTGTCCAGCTTTGGTATCAGGGTAATGCTGGCCTCATACATTAATTTAGGAGGTGATCCTTCCTATTGAATTTTTTTGGAGAAATTTGTGAAGGACTGGTATTAATTCTTTCTTAAATGTTTAGTAGAACTCACCAATGAAGCCATGTGGTCCCGGGCTTTTCTTTGTTATTAATTCAGTCTATTTACTAGTTGTAGGTCTGTTCTGATTTTCTGTCTCTGAGTCAGTTTTGGTTGATCATGTTTCTAAGAATTTGTCCATTTCATCTAGGTTATACAATTCGTTGGCATATGATTGTTCATATTATTGTCTTATACTTTTTATTTCTGTAAAATTGGTAATAATATTCTCACTTTTATTTTTGTAATTTAAAGTTTTAAAATTTGAGTCTTCATTATTTCCTTAGTAAATCTAGCTAAAGATTTGTCAATTTTATCAATCTTTTCAAAGGATCAACTTTTGGTTTTGTTAATTTTCTCCATTGTTATCTTAGTCTCTATTTTATTTACCTTTGCTCTAATCTTTACTATTTTCTGCTTTCTACTAGATTTGGGTTTAGTTTGCTCTTTTTCTATTGTCAAGTTATTGATTTGAAATCTTTCTTTTTTAAAAAATTTAGGCATTTATAGCTATAAATTTCTTTTTGAGCATTATTTTCACTGTATCCTACTCACTTTGGTATGTTGTGTTCTCATTAATTTCTAAGTAGTTTCTAATTTTTGTGATTTCTTATTTGACCCACTGGTTGTTTAAGTGTTTAATTTACATCTATTTCTGAACTTTCAAACTGTTTCTCTGTTATTGATTTCTAGTTTCAATTCATTATGATTTATAAAGATATTTTGTGTGACTTCAATTTTTTAAAATTTATTAAGACTTGGTTTTGTGGCCTAACATATGGTCTATCCTGGAGAATGTTTTATATATGTTTGAGAAGAATGTGTATGTTGTTGGGTGGAGTGTTCTATATGTATCTGTTATGTCTACCTGGTTTATGGTGTTGCTAATGTCTGCCCTCTATTTCCTTATTGATCTTCTGTTTCATTGTTCTATCCATTATTGAAAGTGGGGTAATAAAGTCTCTGACTCGGTTTACTAGGCCTGCTGTAACAAGTACCACAGACTGAGGAGGGATCAAACAACATATTTATTTTCTCAGTTCTGGAGGTCCAAAATCAAGATGTCAGCAAGGCCATGCTTTCTCTCAGAGCTCGAGGGGAAAAAATCTTCCTTGCCTCTTCCTAGTTTCTGGAGTTTTCCAGCAATTCTTGGCATTCATTGGCTTGCAGATGCATTACTTGAATTTCTGTCTCCAACATTACATGGCATTCTCCTTGTGTGTCTCTGAGCATCTGTTTTCTCTTCTTATAAGGACACAGTCATTGTGTTGGGGCCCACCCTAATCCAGCATGACCTCATCTTAACTAATTATATCTATAAAGACTCTACTTCCAAATAAGGTCAGCTAAAGATATCAGGGATTAGATTTTTAACATATCTTTTTGAGATTCACAATTAAACCTGTAACATGTGGAATCTTACTTACAATTGCTGATGACTTTTTTTTTTTTTTTACATTCAAACATCTCTGAAACCAAGATGTATTTTGCAATCCATGGTATCTTTGATTCCACAAGTCTCAGTAACACATTTCATAATGTGATAATTGCTATGAAGAAAATATAGGTTAAGAGTGGCTGGGCAAGTGTGTGGGAGTGTGATTTTAGGTTGAGTGGTCAGGGAAGGCTTCCTTATGGAGCTGACATTTAAGTAGAGAATAATTACTTAGAAGGAGCCAGCCATACAAAATCTGGAACAGGAGTATTTCAACCAGAGGGAACAGTAAGTGTAAAAGCCTTGAACTGGAAACAAATTTGGAATGGCAGGAAAACCCCGTAGCCCTGGCCAGTGTGGCTCAGTTGGTTGGGTATCATCCTGTGCACTGAAGGGTTGCCTGGTTGATTCCTGGTCAGGGCACATGCCCAGGTTGTGGGCTCGATCCCCAATAGGGGGCATGCAGGAGGCAGCTGATGGATTGCTCTCACATAGTTTCTCTCTCTCTCCCCCTCCTTTTTTCTCTCTCTAAAAGTCAATTTAAAAACCTTAAAAAAAGAAAAGAAAACCAGCATAGCTGGAGCATAGTAAGGAAGAAAAAGGTAGAACAAGATGAGGTAGGTGTGGGGTCCTAATAAGCACCTATTGACATTAAGGATTGAGATGATGAAATTTCTGAAGGTAGAGTGTTCTTAGGAATAAAGCTATCTCCAAGAACATTTAAAACTCTCACATTTTAAAAGGTGATGCTATGAGTAAATCCTTTCTCATTTCTATAGCACTATTCATCCTTTAGATCTCAGATTGTGAACATGTTCTTGTTGAGTTCAATAGTTTGTAAACTCATTAAACTCTTATAAATTATTTTAAATCTTTATATTTTCTGAAAAATAACTTTTCTACCTTATGAATATAAAATATCTCACTGTCACTGCTTCACTAAAAAGCAATCTCTTATGTGTCTTGAAGATTCAAGCAAAGTATTCAGTTCCTGAGCAAATTCCCAGTCTGGAAGCAAACAGTCACTCTTCTAATTTACCAAAAAGGTGAGTACAGTTTTATACCTCTAAATGTTGTCCAGTTGTGTCTCGGAGGCATATCTCACACTTATAACTCATTGTGATGCTGGGGAAAAGACATGGAAGAGGGCTTTGGGGGTTATGATATCATTATTACTTTCTCTTTGTTTCAGCAGCATAAAAGAAGCAAAAATGATGAACCAATGGAGTAAACAAAAGATAAGGGTGAAAAATGCAGAAACTTCTTTCTTTGACATTAGGACTTCTGAAATAAGTGAAAAGGAAGGGTTAACTTTGCACCCTGCTAAACAGAACAGTTCTTTCGAGAGTTTGGAGCTAAACTGTGGTTGTGACAAAAATGCCGACACAACCATGAAATGGGAGACAAAGCCATTTCCAATAGCTGGGGAGCCTCTTCGGAAGCATCAAAGTTTGGACTTCAGCTCCGTTTTGCTTGGACCATGTCCTAATTCTAAACCTGTAAATGCAGCAGGAGGATACTTCAAGTCAAAGGGGCCAATAATACGGACCAAATCGACTCCCTTTGAATTGATACAACAGAGAGACACCAAGGAGCTGGACGTCAAGGAAAATTTTTTGTTGTTGGAATCTCAACCAAACAATTCTTGTCTTGAGCAGGCTCAAAAAGCGATGCATGTTTCTTCAGCAGAACTGAATTATTCACTGTCATATGACTCGAAGCACCCAATGTGTAATGCCTCCAATGCAAAGCAACATGACTCTAGTGCTCTTAATGTACATTCTTACATGTCTTTAGTAGAAGATCCTTACTGTCCACCATTGTCTCCAAGAAGTGCTGGTTCTCAGATGTCTCTTGATTTACCTGAGAAACAAGATACAACTGTGTTACCTTGTTCTTTGTTGCCAACATCTTCCGCAACCCTATTTTCTTGTTATGAGTCACATGATTCTTTAGCATGGAATCCTCCAACCAATTTCCCCCACACATTGAACCAAGAGAGAACAGATGTTGGTAAGTTATTTTTAAAAGTTTATATGGCATTTTAGATTTCACTTTGTTTCTACAGAAGATTTGGTTTATTCTCATCTTCTCCCTTGTCCTTCTCTGCTTCCTTCTTCTCAGAAATAAATTCCAAGAGTGTTTTAATGATGTGGTAAGTTGAAAATAGCAAATGCAAACATAACATTTCATGATCTACGTGATCTATGGTCTATCATCTATGCCAACAGGAGTGCTTTTAAAGAAGGCAATTCTCATTCCTGGAAATGCATAGAAAAGGCCCACAATTTACCCTTAACATATGGAAGCAATTTCCAAACAAACATAAGAAAAGATTTGATCAATGGCACCATGTGGTCACTCATAATTTTTATTGCACAACCATGTGGCTATATTGAGTTGAACAGAGAGCTAACAATTGTATTTTCTTGCTGAAGTAGTTAGAAGAGGAGGACCTGATTTCCTCCTGCCCTTTTCTAATAACTTAATAGATGAGAATGTGTGTTCCATATTGTGTGGGATTTTAATTATATGTACACCTTTACTTTCATACTTTATTATTCTAGATTTTTACATATTATGCATGATGTTTTTCTGAGTGATTTGATATTAGAAGTAAATATCCTGTTAGACATTATTATAATAGTTTGATGTGAAAGAAAGAAAGCAAAGAGTAAGTTTAACTCTCTTAGAGACGTCATCAGAAACTGATAAAGAATGTTCTACCTGAATAGGACATAGAAAGAGTTTTTACTCTAACATTATTGTACATTTTCTTAATACATGTGTAGTTTTGTTACCAAAATACTTTTTCTGCATCTAGTTCCTCCTTTGATTAGATTAGATTATATGTTTTGATCTTGCTTTATAATTTAAAGGAATTTTATTTTTCTAGATGCTTATAACACTTTAAAATTCTGAGCCTTAACATTAAAAGACAAATCCTTATCTTCAGGGATTGTAGCAACATTGACATGTGTGCCATCTGGTGGCAGTTTCTTATAATAGCATCAAATTTTTCTATAAAAATTCTCAATGTTTCTATAGAACTATAGAAAACCCTGTTACAACATTGTTTTTTTAAAAACAAACAAAGAAAAATATATTCTTCATCCTGGTAGAATAACTAAGATATACTAAAATCTTTATGACTTTACCTAGACTGTAACTGAATCTTTGGTATGTCAAAGTTCTTTTATGATACTATATTGGACATTCTACGTAAAACAAAAAGGAAAGAGTTATGTAATGTAAATTAATATAATGATTTTTATTAAGTTAACTGATACTCAATCACTCAATCAAAATACTTTTAGGCTTGCAAAAGAAAGAATACATTTTGAAGAAGCAAAACCTCCTGGGTTTGCAACTTAAGATGAGGGCATTTATTTTGCTTTTTCCTTTGAGTGAACAGATACCAGCTTAAATCATGTAATGATGCTTGATGGGATTTACAGCAAGATTGAAATGTAAGAATTTTCTTTGGATTTTGCCTAATTAAAAATTGTAATTATATGTCTGCCATTTTGGATAGCGACTTCTCCAAGAATAGATGACGAGATCCCCCCGCCACTTCCTGAACGGACACCTGAATCTTTCATTGTGGTAGAGGAGGCTGGTGAGTACAGCTCAGTAAGTGTACGTACAGCGTGGATTAACTAGGTTACTTATCAAGTCCTTCCAGTGTTGTGCGTGCTATTGCTGAGTAACATTTGCTTTCTAAAAGAATGATAACGCTCCCAAAAACTGGACCGTGTTTACTTTCTTCCAGGAAAAGTCCCACTGAGCGGTCCCCAATCTTTAGCTTCAGCTGTGATGACAAGAACTGGAACATCACCTGAATGGAGTGGAACATCCAAATCAAACAAACCTGATGACTCGGTGAGACTCAGGCCAAACAAGGTCAATAACTTCTTTTTCTGACCCATTTGGATTCAACAGATTATAGTCCCACTCCCTGTATTTTTAACACCTATCAGTCAATAAATACTAAGCAGATACTACTTGTAAAACAATGTGCTAGAGGACATTGGGGATAAAAAGATATATAACACCCAATTAGCCCTGAAGAAATTCATAGTCTAGCGGCGGAGATACAGGATATGTATACAAGTATTTTTGTCTGTTTACTATAACAAGGCAAATGTGACCAGTGCCATTTGAAAGATAAGAGATTTGAAAGTGTGGGAGATCCCTTCAGGTCAGAAGTGAAAACATTTGAGCTGATTCTTGAAGGATATTCAAAGCAAAAATAAATGTTTCATAAGTAGGTATCTTGTTTGCAATAGCCATTTTGTTGGCTGTATCCTGATAGCTGTGATAACATATTATAGAGAATAATTTTTTGAGTGAAACTTGTCCATATTATTTGAGGTAAACCTTTTGAAATAACATTCCCTGCTTCTAGAAGAAAAATCTACACTTTCAACAGTCTGTTATCCATTTGTATATATTCAATGAACCAACTCTTACAATTTCAGAGTTCAGAAAAGTAGTTAAAACATTTAAACATGCCTACAATTGCAATACTGATAGGCAAACATTCTCTACCTTTCAAATTATACTTTTAATTTACTAGTAACTGTTATTATTATTGTTAAAAAATGTGCTACATCTAGTGGTCTTTCACTTAACAACTCTCAGACAAAGAACAGTCACTCCCTTTCCAATGTCATGAAGTAACTTCAATTTCAACAATTTACCTCCAATTAAATTTTCAGGGAAATGTTGTGAGTAGAAAGGAAATAGGTCAAAACAGGATCAACTTAGGACCAACTGTCATGACAGATAAAAATCACTGTAAGAGTCGATGCCTTTTCATAATTCAGCACACTTATACATTACAAAAAAAAGAGGGCCGACATTTCATAACTATCTCTATCGATATATGCAATATAATTTCAAAAACGCCATGCATTGCTTTGAGTTTGTAAATTTTCTATATATTCTTTCACCTTTACTTTCTTTCTCTCTCTTTTTTTTAGTGTGTAACACTCTGGAGTCCCAAATCAGGTAAAAACTTCCCTTGGCTTTCGATGAGATTTAGCCCTGAGAATTTGTACTGTAAGAATGGCTCATTAAGTTTAGAGTAATTTGCCTCAGGAGATGGTATGGTTCCCACAATAGCTTCTACTGTTTATTGATTTATTTCTGGTTTTCCAGGCTAGGAGTTTTGTTTTGTCAAGGGCAAGGTAAAGACAGGATTTTACGATTCTACTCCTTGATATATAACCCTTTAAAAAAACTATTTCAGGTAGAATCTCTTAAAACTTTGCAGCAGTTCCACTTTATAGGTTTTTGTCATTGTTCACATTGTAATTCTAAAAATTATTTGTGGCCATTTAGATCTTTCATTTGCCATTGTTTTTCCAGTACCTTCTTGAGCTTTGCTTGTCTTATACATTGAATAACAACATCAACAGCTAACATTTACTGGGCACCGATAGGTATTTTACATCCACTATGACAGGTGGTAGTTGCCCTTAATGTATTTATTTATATTAACATATTATTCACTTATTGTATTCATAGTATACATAAATATGTAGTATAACATAGGTTTAAAAAATAGGCTTTTGAGTCAGACAGACTTTAATTGAAATTCCCACAGTACCAATAGTTATCAAAATGCATAACCTTGGTACTCTATCAAATTTTTCTCATTTATAAAATGAGGATAATAGAACTCTCTTCTTAGAAGATTTCCATGAGGATTAAGTGTGATGATGCACCTGAAGCTTTTAGCACAGTGATTGTCAAATAATAACTTTCATTAAATGTTACCTATTATACTTTTTATTAGATAATTATTAAGTGAGCTTTTCCTAGGCAAGCTCTGTATACTTATATTGTGTTAGGAGGATATAGAAAGATAAATACCATATGATTTCACTTATATGTGGAATCTAAAGAACAAAATAAATGAACAAAATTGAAACAGACTCATAGATACAGAGAACAGACTGATGGTCAGCAGAGGGGAGGGGGATTGAGGACTGGGTGGAAAAGGTGAAGGGATTAATAAGTATAAATTGTTAGTTACAAACAAGTCATGGGGATATAAAGTATAGCATAGGGAAGATAGTCAATAATACTGTAATAACTATGTATGGTGTCAAGTGGGTACTGGAAAAGGCAGGAGGAGTGAGGGAAACACTTTGTAAAGTATATGACTGTCTAACCACTACGCTGTACACTTGAAACAAATACGAAATAATATTGAGTGTAAGAAAAAGATATATTGTGAAGAACATAGAGGACTTGCTTTAAAATAATTTAGCAAAGAAAAAAGAGTCAAAGGATACAATTGGGCAAATCTGGCAAAATCTTGAAAATTGTTGAACTGAGGTTATGGAGATTCATTGTACTAATTTCTCTACTTTGAAATGTATTCAAAAATTTTCCTAAAAGGGAAAAGAAAGGGCACTGCTTAATGCTTCCATTCAAATTGGGTAGACAAAGTTAATACTCATTTGTAACTATTAATGGTAATCTGTGTGGCCCTGATTCTAATCACCAGGAGTCTAGAAAAAAGGAAGGTATCATTGGAGTGGTTAGGGAAGGCTTCACTGAGTAGAAGAAAGAAATAGAAATTCTAGGAGCAGGGATCAGGGTCACAGTGACTCAAAAGTAGAAATAAGCATGATGAGTACAGAGAAATGGTGAGTGGGTTCATTTAATTGCAGTAGAGGTTCTACCCTGGGAAATATGGAAAATAAATTGGGATAGATAAAATGGGGAAAGATTCTGAAGGACTTAAAAGTGAAGCAGAGGAAATATCCAGAACAGATGAATGTATGGAGAAAGCAAATTTGTAGTTGCCAATGTAATCTGAAGGGAATGGGGAGTAACTGCTGAGAGAGTATGATTTCCTTCCAGGGTGATGAAAACGTTTTGGAATTAGATAGTGATGATGGTTGCATAACACAGCGAATGTACCAAATGTCATTAATGGTAAATGTTGTTATGTATGTTTTATCACACACAAAGTGAGGCAGAAGAATTTAGATTTAATGCAATGAGTAATAAGCTTGTAAGATTCTTCATCAGGCGAGTATAAAGATGAAAATGGTATTTTAGGAAGATATTTGACAGTATATTGTTAACTGAAAGTTAGTTTTAGTTCTCAGAATATTTTCTAGTAGCAAACTGGAAGATGATAAGCTACTTTCATGCATTTAACCCCAACATATAAGGAATAAACAAGAGAACTTGCTTTATAGACAAACACTAATTCGTAAAAAAACCAAACGACCAAAGACAGGTGAAAATGTAGCACTTACCTGCATTTTCATTTTCAGAGGACATTAATATAGTATATAATTGTATTCAGTACCATATAAGAAGCAGCCCATGTTAATAGAACATCATTTGTATCTGTAGGATGTATATTGGGAGAAAATAGCTCCATTATTGAAAATGTTCTTATTATGGAAAATTTCAACACTTATTTTAAACCTACCAAGATAGCATTATCACACCAATAAAATTAACTGATTCCTTAATACAAACTAATATTCAGACTTGTTCAATTTTCTCAAATTGTCAATGTCTGTTCACTGTAGGTTTATTTGAATCTGGATTCAAACAAAGTCTACACATTGCATTTGGTTTATATGTTTCTTACATCTTTTAAAATTTATAACCGTTCTCCTTCCTTTTTATGTTTTTGTCATGCCATTTATTTGTTCAAGAGAGTGGACATTTGTAAAAATTGCTAATATTCTGGATTTGGCTGTTCGCCTCCTCATGGTTTCAGGATGCTCTGTGAAATGGTAGTTGGAACTAGAGACTCAATTCAATTCAGATTCAGTTTCTTTGGAAAAACACTTTCGTGAGTGAGTTACAAGTTTGTGATGAATCAGAGGCTCATTGGCTAAAGAACTAGAAGAAAAAAGTTCTTGAGGCACCAATCATCATTCAGATAATTTTTTATTTGGTTATTGTAAGTTAATATTGAAAAATTGGAAAAGTTAGACAAAACCAAAAAGGGGTCTTGACTTAAGACTTTTAAGTGATGGGTGTTTTTGCTCACTGTACACTCTTCTCATCACAGATCTACATGAAGATCGCTCTTCTCCCCCACCTCCTCTCCCAGAAAGAACCCGAGAGTCCTACTTCCTTGCTGATGAGGACTGTAAGTGGCAGCACGTGCTCTTCAAAAAGTTATAAAACCCAGACTGTTAAAAGGTTAATGATAAAGTAGAACCTAAATGAAAAGGCACAAGGAATGATTAAATAAGATAAAAATAATACATTTAAAAACCCATAATGTATTGTAAAAACAATGCATAAAGAAGTCAAGCATTACTGAATATATACCTATATAAAACCTGAGAGCTTAAGAAGCTATGCAACAAAATACCTTTTTTTTCAGGTATGGAGTCTCAACCTATAGAGACTTATTCTACTAGCTATTCCAACGCTGTTGAAAACCCAACATCTTCAAAACAAACACTGAAGACTCCTGGAAAATGTTTCACAAGGAGTAAGGTAAAAAAGATGTGAATGTATGGAAATATGCCAGAAGATTTTCATTACTGAAAGTGTCCCCAACCCCAGCTTCACCCTCCCCCACCAGCTGCCAGCATTAAGATGGAAAATTAGATTAAATATCTTTACTAAAATTGTTGTGTTTAGGACAATCAAAATTAGTAGAAGAAAACAAACAAAATTTTTTACTGTAACTTAGTTTAAAGCATGCCAAATAAAACAATCATTTTTTTTTTTTTTTTTGGAATGAGACAAACTGATTCTAAAATTCATATGAGGGGATAAAAAGAGCAAGAATGGCCAGTAAACTGTAAAAAATTAAAATAAAAGTAAAAGCAGTGGAAGGAGGGTAGCCTTACCAGATATTGAAACATTGTAAAGCCTCAATAATTAAAATAGTATATGAAAAAAAACCCCACACATACTAACATAGCAGAATGGTAAGTCCAGAAATAAATTTAAATATATGTAGGAATTTAGTATATGATTAAAGATGGATGTTTTAATAATCGTTGTTGGATGAACTGGATAAACACCCGAAGAAAAAACTAGGATCCTACCTCACAGCTATCTATACCAGGATATATCCTAGATGGATAAAATATTTAAATGCATAAAAACAAAACAAATAAACAAACAAAACCAACCCAAAAAAGTACTAAAAAAAGTACTAAAAAAAAGTACTAAAGAAACTTGGAAAGATTACTTTACTACCCAGGAGTGGGAATGATCCAAAATTCAGGAGCCATAAAAAGAGAGATTTATAAGTTCACCTAAATAAAATAGAAAATTTCTGCGTAGCCCCCCGCCCCAATCACATTAAAATCAAAAGACAAAGAACAAATAGAGAAAAATATCTGCAACTGGCATCATAGCCAAGGAATTATTTCTTTAATATATAAAGACTCCTAGAAATTCATAGAAAATGATAACTTTGATACAAAGTGTGCAAAAAAAAATCAGATAGTTTAAACAAAATAAATATGCACAGTCTACCCTTTAAACATTTGATATGTTCAACATCACTCATAAGAGACATACAAATTAAGAACACTAAGACATACTATTTTCATCCATCGGAATGGCAAATTCCAAAGTCTGACTACCTTTTTTGTTATGCAGACTATGGGAAAATAAGCTCGTGCCTGCATTGTTGGTGAGAATGTTAAATGGTGTAACTTCTGTGGAGGACAATTTAATGATATCTGTCAAATGCTTGTACCCTTTGATCCACTGCTAGGAATTTATCCTTCAAATATGAGTGCACATGTATGAAATGAAATGTATACCAGGTTATTTACTGTAGCATTATTTATAACAGCAGACAATTGGGAACAACATAAATAGTAATCATTAGGGAAACTGATTAAATAAATCATGATATATGCACACAGTGGAATACTATGCAGCTAAAAAAATGAGGACTCTCTCATTATATTTATACAAAATTTATTAACATTTGCTTAAAAGGAACAAAATATGATCTATATTTGTATTATATATTCATATGTAACTCTGGAAGGATACATAAAAAGCTAACAATGGTTATCTGTGGGGGAGGGTTAGGAAACTGGGTAGACACCAAACAAGAATGGTAGCATTTTTACTAAGATAGCTTGAATTACAAATAAATTATCTATTATTTTAATTGAAATAAAATTTTTCTTTTTTTTTTTTTTTTTTTTATCCTCACCTGAGGACATTTTTCCATTTTTTGTTCAGGTAGAGTGGGAGGGAGAGAGAGAGAGAGAGAGAGAAACATCGATATGAAAGGAACACATCGAGTGGCTGCCACCCACACGACCGACCAGGGCCGGGGACAAACTGCAACCGAGGTACATGCCCTTAGCGGGAACCGAACCCGGGTCTCTCCGGACCACAGGCGGACTCTCTAACCACTGAGCCAAACCGGCCAGGGCGAAATAAAATTTTTCAAAAAAAAGAATTTATTAAATATCTATTATATAGAAGAGTACATTTCTGTTAGGTGTTAGGAAAATAGAAATGTCATAAAGGACATCTACCGGCCTTGAAAGAGTACAGTTAATCTATTGGAACAGAATGCCGAAGTAAGAAACAACAGAAAATTATCAAGAAGAATCTAATACCATGGAACGGATTAAAAACATATATGGTGAGGATCTGTAGAGAAAAGAGCAAGTCAGGGTAGGTTCCTGGAAGAGATAAGCTACACTCCACTATAAAGGGGGCAGAGGACATGGGTTTGCTGAAAGGAAGGAGAGGAAGTAGCATGGCTAACAGTATGGAGTGGACCTTAGTAAACAAATGATGATTGATAAACATTCTTGGCTAGAATGGTAATGGCTACGTATCACAGCTGTCTTCAGAAGCCATCGTGGGTTCTGGAATGGTCCTAAAAAAGAGAAGTAGAAACTCCCATTTCCCCCCAATATTCTGATAGCAATATTTCTGAATACCTAGTGTAATTATCATATGGGTGGGAAAATAGCAAAATAAAATCAAGTGGAGGCCTTTACACAGAATTAAAAATGGCAAGATGAAAAAATAGTTTTGTGCATTTTGGTGGCTATTTTTTAAGGAAATTAATCCTTTTGACTGACATTTGTATTTCTACTTGATTAAAGTATTTGGGATTTCACACAACAATATTAACATTTTCCTTTTTGCAGAGTTTGAAAATTTTGCGGAACATGAAAAAGAGTAAGCTTCTTTATATTCATTAAAATATATATATACTTTCATGATTATTTAATTCTTCCATATATAAACCACTCTGTGAAAAAGTTAATATTATTCCTGAACAGAGGTTTGCTAGGGTCCTATGGATCAGATCACCTCCCAAGGCTTTGTATTGTGTTGGGCTCCATAGTGATAATTTAATATAAGTAGAAAGTAAGGGGGGAAGTTTCTGCTTGATAGACTGGAATAATAGAGTGATGTTTGGCACTTGCTACTCATCTTAAGATGCTGTCATCTAAGTGTGTTATTTAAAATTCTCAGCAGTCTAACCTCAGATGTATTTTCTTTGGAAACAGTCACAGCAAAGCATATTGTGAAACAAATGTGTTGATTTAGTGAAATAAGCAAAGTATTGACTCATTTCTATTTTTTCCAAGTATTATTAGCAACAGTAAGTCTGTTGCTTACTATTTTTGCTATACTATAATGAAAACAAAACCCAAAGGCTCCTGAAACCATGGGAATTTGGTTATCTTAGAAATCCTTATTTATCACGACAAAGTATATAAAACATGGTGATCGAGTTTTTACAAATTTGATCCATTTGGTTAATCATCAAGGACTAAACAGCTACTTGGTATTATAGGGAGGGACAAAGAACACTGAGAAAACTTAATGTAAGTTATTATTTGAGTGAGAAGGTTTACACCTGAATCCTACTCTTTTCTTCTGAGTTTTCAGTCTATCTTTCTGTCCATACACTGTGCTAGTCTGCTGTCATTGCCACCACACTTGATCTCCAAAATGAACTGGTTTCTCACCCGTCATGATTTAACTATGACGGAAAAGTATGATGGCTAAAGCCAGTCAAAAGAGAATTTAAACATTTCAAGAGGAGGAAATTATAGTACAAAACAAGAGAATTAAACAGCTAAAAGCAAAGAAATGAATGACTTGAATAGCCAAAGATTGATTTGATCAGCTTAGCTTTTGAAATACTCAAAACAAAAAATCCCCAAACTTTTTTCTCTAACTCCAATCCTGTCTTGGGAATATCAAATAAGACACAGAAACTTGAGGTAGATTGAGATAGTAGGTTGGCATAGATTGGAGATACGGGACTCTTGGAGACTGAGTCTTACATCTAAGTAAGAGCTCCCAAGTCATTCTCTAGATCTAGGCTAATTTCTGATTCTCAGCTACTTTTATCATCTGGTCTTTTATCCTTAAATGAAGGACAATATCTGGCTCCAAAATTGATCCTGAAGCTTTATACTTATCTGTCTGTATTTGCGTATGTATCCTTTCCCCCTTCCAGTTGGCTCATGGCTACTGAATTCCATATGCTCCCCCTTTAGCCTGGATGTCTTATTGGCTTGTAATTAAAACTGGTCCTGACCAATTGTTGTCAGTATATTCAATGCTCTGATTAAGCAGGACACTGGCATACCTAATTTTAACAATTGTTATATGTGGACACTAACCAACAAGGAATGAGGTCAAACCTAGACAACTGGTGTAACCATGGCAAAGTTCCACCTGAAAATCAGCCCTTCACAAAAATGAGAAGATTATAGTGTCACCATTTGTAAGCATCTATAGTTTGTTACATTTGATAGTGATGTGTTTATTTGGGAGTATTATTTTGGAGGAAATGTTTAATCTCAACAATTATGTGATCTGATAAAGTTATCTCAATTTGTCTTCATTCTTTCCCTTACATTTTTTCTTTTCATTCTAGGTCTCTGTAATTCTCCCTCACCAAACAAGCCTGCAGACCCTGTTCAGTCAAACAACTCCAGCTCCTTACTGAATTTTGGTATGTGTGTTATTTTTCAGCAGAATTTTAAAAATGTTTACCCAAATTGTTATTTTACAGTATAAGAGATACAACTTAAAATAGGATTTGAGGTTGTATGTATAGGTCCTTATATTTATATTCTTTTTCATGCAATTTGTCTTTTTTATTTTTGACCTCAGCAACCACTTAACATCTTACACAGGGCTGTGTATTCTATTACATAGAATTGCCTAGCAAATGCAGAAAATAAAGCCAGGTAACCAAATGATTATGTTGGCATTTAGTAAATGAATGTGAGTAGCCAAATGAAACAAATTCTGAGATGCTATAATACTCCAGTTCATATCTAAGCAAAGTTATAAAATATAGAAATGTGATTATAAAAAAAACAGCAGTTGCTGCTGTCTAATCTTGTATAACTCACCACACAGTAGGAGCTGAAGCACAATTCTGACAGTTTAATCGAATTGTTTGTTCTGTCACCCCTAAGTGTCAGCTATAAACGTAAAATAACTTTATATTATATTTAAGGTGGCATCACTATACTATATATTTCTTTTTGTAATAAGTGCAGCAACTAATCTAGGACATTACTACTAAAAATTATTGACCAAAAAGCAGACTCCCTGAAAGGGTCTGGGGACCCCACCTTGAGAATTGCTGCTCTATGTTATTGTCCTTGTCTATATGGCCAAAATTGGGTTGCTGCCACATCCAGATTGCAGGTGGCAAGAAGATGAGAGAAAAACATGGAAAAGGTGTGGCCTCCTCGGCTGGTTTCAAGGCACTGGCCTGGCAGTGGCAACATCACATTGGCTCACATTCCCTTGAGAATTTAGACATGTGCTATGTCTAAACTGCAAGAGATACGAGGAAGTGTAATATAGTTACCCATTTACAATTCTACTCCTGAAGAAGAAGTAAGAAAAGATTTTGGTGGGCAGGTAGTAATTTCTGTCACACCTGGGTTATGGTCTTATCTCACCTTGGTAAAATATTTAACTAGAATCTCTGGATCTGTTTTTTGGGCTGTAAAATTTTATTTCGATTACATTAACTCAAATATTTATAATGTTATAACTAGATAAAAAAAGTTAGAATTAGAAAAAAGAAGTTATTATTCTTATGAAATTATTTAGTTAAAAATATTCATATAGATTATTATATAACCTATGAAAAAAGCAGCACATTTTGCCTGGAACACACATGTTCCCTGCTTCTTTCTTTTCTCTCAATCCGTGATAACAACTTGAGTAATTCAAGGCCATTCTAACTTTACAACAATCTATTATCCAATATGAGAATAAAATATTAGAGGGCTGCCTCTAAGTTGTTTCTTCTGAAAGTTGAACATTTTATCTACTTAAAAGCAGCATTTAACTTTCTCATTGACTTTTTTTTATTATAAAGGAGGTAATATAACTTGTAAGGATATTTTATTCAAAGAAGTATTTACCTTTGAATGAAAAAAATGTAGTTGTTTATTTTTTTATTTTTATTTTTTAGAAGGTAGAACTTACACTTTATTTTTTTATTATTATTTTTAAAATTTATTTATTTTTGTTACAGATGTTTCTCCTTTTCCCCCCACTAATTTCCCCCATCCTCCTTCCTCCCCACCCTGTCCCCAGCTTGGTTGTCCATGTCCATTGTTCATGCATACATGCATATAAGTTCTGTAGTATATCTCTCCCCCACCACCCCCTCTTCTGGGAATTGTCAGTCTGTACCCCACTTCCATGTCTCTGGGACTATCCCATTCCTCAGACTGTTATGTTCATTATATTCCACAAATAAGTGAGATAATATGATACTTGTCTTTCTCTGTTTGGCTTGTTTCGCTTAGGATAATACTCTCCAGGTCCCTCCATGTCGTCTCAAAGGATAAAGAGATCTTTCTTTCTTACAGCTGCATAGTACTCCATTGTGTATATGTACCACAGCTTTTTGATCCATTCGTCTACTGATGGACATTTGGGCTGTTTCCAGACCTTAGCTATTGTAAATAGTGCTGCTACAAACATGGGGGTACATATATTCTTTCTGATTGGTGTTTCAGGCTTCTTAGGGTATATTCATAGAAGTGGGATCACTGGGTCAAATAGCAGTTCAATTTTTAATATTTTGAGGTAACACCATATTGTTTTCCATAGTGGCTGCACCAGTATGCATTCCCAGCAGCAGTGTACTAGAGTCCCCTTTTCTCCACACCCTCGCCAACACTTATTGTTTGATGATTTGTTGATGGCGGCCATTCTGAAAGGTGTGAGGTGGTACCTCATTATTGTTCTAATTTGCATCTCTCTGATGCTTAGTGATGTTGAGCATTTCTTCATATGTCTCTTGGCCATTTGTATGTCCTGTTTGGAGAAGTGTCTATTTAGTTCCTCTGCCCTTTTTTTTTTTTTTATCCTCTCACCCGAGGACACTTTTCCATATTTTGTTCAGATAGAGTGGGAGGGGGAGAGAGAGAGAGAGAGAGAGAGAGAGAGAGAGAAACATCGATGTGAAAGGGACACATTGAGTGGTTGCCACCCATACGACCCAACCAGGGCCAGGAACAGACTGCAACCAAGGTATGTGCCCTTAGCGGGAACCGAACCCTGGTCTCTCTGGACCGCAGGCCGATGCTCTAACCACTGAGCCAAACCAGCCAGGGCACCTCTGCCCATTTTTTAATTGGGTTCTTTGTCTTCCTTTTGTTGAGTTGTATGAGCCCTCTATATATATTGGAAATTAACCCCTTATCTGATATATCATTGGCAATTATGCTCTCCCATACAATGGGTTGCCTTTCCATTTTGATGATTGTATCTTTTGCTGTGCAGAAGCTTTTGAGTTTGATGTAGTCCCATGTGTTCATTTTCTCATTTGTTTCTGTTGCCTAGGTGATGTATCAGTGAAAATTCTGCTGCGTGTGATGTCTGAAATTTTGTTGCCTACAGTTTCTTCTAGGATTTTTATGGATTCATGAGTTATATTTAAGTCTTTCATCCAGGTTGTGTTTATTCTTGTGTATGGTGTAAGTTGATGGTCTAGTTTCATTTTTTTACATGTAGCTGTCCAATTTTCCCAACACCATTTATTAAAGAGGCTGTCTTGACCCCACTGTATGCTCTTGCCACCTTTGTCAAATATTAATTGAGCATATTGCCTTGGGTCCATTTCTGTGTTCTCTATTCTGTTCCACTGGTCTATGTGCCTGTTCTTGTGCCAGTACCAGGCTGTTTTGATTACAGTGGCTTTGTAGTATAACCTGAAATCTGGTAATGTGATCCCTCCAACTTTGTTCTTCTTTTTCAAGATTGCTGTGGCTATTCGAGGTCTTTTTTGGTTCCAAATGAACTTTTGAAGTATTTGTTCTAGTTCTGTGAAGTATGTCGTTGGTATTTTGATGGGGATTGCATTGAATATATAGATTGCTTTGGGTAATATGAACATTTTAATGATGTTAATTCTTTCAATCCATGAACAAAATATGTGCTTCCACTTTTTTATATCTTCCTCTATTTCTTTTTTCAATGACCTGTAGTTTTCTGCGAAAAGGTCCTTTATTTTTTTGGTTGAGTTTATTCCTAGGTATCTTAATTTTTTTGCTGCAATGGTAAATGGGATTTTTTTTTTTAAATTTCTCTTTCTGTGAGTTCATCATTGGTGTATAAGAATGCCATCGAGCCCTGGCCGGTTTGGCTCAGCGGTTGGAGCGTCGACCTGCGGTACAGAGAGACTCGGGTTCGGTTCCGCTAAGGGCACATACCTCGGTTGCAGTTTGTCCCCGGCCCTGGTCGGTTGTGCAGGTGGCAGCCACTCGATGTGTCCCTTCACATCGATGTTTCTCTCTTCCTCTCTCTCCCTCCCACACTATCTGAACAAAAAATGGAAAAATGTCCTCGGGTGAGGATTAAAAAAAAAAAAGAATGCCATCGATTTCTTGACGTTAATTTTGTATCCTGCTACTTTGCCAAATTCATTTATTAAGTCTAGTAGATTTTTGATGGAGTCTTTGGGGTTTTCTACGTATAGTATCATGTCATCTGCGAATAATGACAGTTTCATTTCCTCCTTTCTAATTTGGATCCCTTTTATTTTTCCTGTCTGATTGCTGTGGCTAAGACTTCCAGTACTATGTAAAATAAGAGTGGCAAAAGTGGGCATCCTTATCTTGTTCCTGTTCTTAAAGGAAATGCTTTTAATTTTTGCCCATTGAGTATGATGTTGGCTGTAGGTCTTTCATATATGGCCTTTATTATGTCAAGATATGATCCCTCTATTCCCAGATTGCTGAGCGTTTTTATCAGAAATGGGTGCTGGATTTTGTCGAATGCTTTTTCAGCATCTATCAATATGATCATATGATTTTTATCTTTCATTTTGTTTATGTGGTGTATCACATTTATTGATTTGAGAATACTGTACCAGCAGCCTTGCATCCCTGGGATGAATCCCACTTGGTCATGGTGAATAATTTTTTTTGATATATTGCTGGATCCGATTTGCTAGTATTTTGTTCAGGATTTTGGCATCTATGTTCATCAGGGATATTTGTCTGTAGTTTTCTTTGTAGTGTCTTTTTCTGGTTTTGGAATTAGAATTATGCTGGCCTCATAAAATGAGTTTGGAAGTCTTCCTTCTTCCTGAATTTTTTGAAATAGTTTGAGGAGAATGGGCATTAGTTCTTTGAATGTTGGGTAAAATTCCCCCGTGAAGCCGTCTGGGCCTAGGCTTTTGTTTGCTGGGAGAGTCTTGATTATATCTTCAATTTACTTTGTTGTTATCAGTCTGTTCAAGTTTTCTATCTCTTTCCAGTTCAGTTTTGGGAGACTGTGTTTCTAGAAATTTGTCCATTTCGCTTAATTGTTGAATTTGTTGCCGTATAATTGTTCGTAATATTTGTTAATGATCCTTTGTATTTCTGTGGTGTCAGTTATTATCTTTCATTTCTGATTTTGTGTATTTGGGTTCTCTCTCTTTGTTTCTTGGTGAGTCTAGCTAAGGGTCCATCCATCTTGTTTATCTTT